CTCTTCGCGACTGTGCGCTTACCTCTGTTCACGCGCCTGTGTCCGGCGTGACCTCAGGATGCCTGCCTGTGTGGATGACAAGGGTGGTGGCTCACGTGCTCGGCCATCCTAACACGTTCCCATAAAATATGACAGCAATTCGGGAGCAGGGGCTTAAGTGGCAGGTCTAGGCAAAGGTTCACACCGCGTCAGACACCTGCGCCGGAACTTGCATCCAATCCACTCAGTTTCCTCTCGAGAGTGAGACCAGGTTAGTGTGAGAATAAAGAGAGAGTGTGTGTGGTAGACGCGGTGTAAGCCTAATATTACTATAAACTAATTCACGAACAAGTCAAGGCCACTGGAGCACAGGATGACCATTGTCGGAAATGACCTTCGGACTACCTTTGCTATAAAAAGTGAAGTGACGTTAACAAGTTTTTCTACGTCGAATGACCTTGGAGTGACCGATTCCTTGGCTGTGCGGAGATGTCTGTCTTAAGTCGATCTCCTTAAACCCAACACGTCGCCATACTATCTCGGCCGCTGTATACATAATAATGAAGCATCTATTAGGAAGGAAGGAGTAAGATGTGCGAGTGAACAGAAGGCAGCTAGTTCGACTTTTGTGATGCGACAACCAAGACAGACAATTGCAGTAACATACTGCACAGACCGGCCACTCCGTCAAGAGAAATTAATTAATGGGGGGAGCAGTCTGGCAATAACCTTACGAGTGAGTCGATGGGCCATCAGGGTGAAAGATCTACTGTTGGCGTAATGAACTGCCACGTAGCACAGTTAGTACCTACTAGGAGGCGACGAACAGCTCACGCAGTAAAGCTACAGGGGGAAATGGATTAACCCTAGGTCAATCAATTCGAGAAAAGAAACAGTTCAGCGAACTGTTTAGTTTTTTTTGTGCGTGGAATCTACATTGTTACAGCGAACGGGCGGTTCCAATCGTCACCCGTACCATATTTAGTGAAGCAGAAGCGAGATGACTATTAACTACCTACTGACTTGATTTAAATAGTTCGTTTTGTTTATACATTAAGGTGGGCTCCGAATCCAAGCCAAACGGATTATTCCAGACCAGAAACAGATAAGCAGAATATCAATTCGACTTATTGGGAGAGAGGAGAGGAGAGGAGGGGAAGGGGGAGTGGAAAGTCTAACGCCATAGGCACGAAACGTGAAGGAGGATGATCCCAGTGGAGGCCAGGAAACAAAAATGTTAGAAAGCGAAGACGCAGTGTGGCAAAAAGAATATCAAACAAAAGCGGCAAAGCAGGCAAAAACGCACCAAAGTCAAAGGGATCACCGACGGGAAAGGCCAGAGCAGATTTAGCTTCGCTGGTCGACTGTGATGGAGCGGAGCCAAGAGCAGAGGACTCCTCCGGGCCCATGGGAAACAAGGGCACCGAGCTGGCTCCATTTTCCCTAAAACCGCCTACGCGGGGACGGCGGGAAAAATGGAAGCAGATGGATTTTAAGCGTTAGTAAAACGGTATGGATTGGGCAAATTGGGACGCCACGAACCTTTTGAGCCGTTTTATTGAAAAAAAGGGTGGGAACCATCGACTATATGAGTTAAAATATCAGCCCTGTTGGGATCCGCCCAAACAGACTTGCTCGCAGGCAGCGCATGACGAATCACCTGTCAAAGTCGACTCATACAAAGGCCACAGCAGACGCTGTAGGATTCCGGCGGTCGCTTTGTTTCACAAGCGGTCCCTGACCGGCGGTTGTTTGCCC